CAGTTTCCAACGAGCCAGTCTTAGAATGGAAGGGTAGTAGCTCAGTGCCTATAGGTCAAATTATCTCTTACCTTAGGCTAGAAACATGATCTCTAAAGGGTAGTGTACCACATGTTGAGGAAAAAGGGAAGGAATTAGCAAAAGATGTTCATAAGCTTGCTTGCTTAGGAGTTAGTCTTACAGACACATCAGATGGTGGTGTGATAATCCAGAATAGATCAGAATCTCTATTGGTAGAGGAGAATAAGGAAAAACAGATAGTGATCCTATACTACTTCAGTTGGAAGGTGTAGTTCATCAATAGAAAATAGAGGTTTTCTCCCAAGGGGGAGATGGTCACTTATGTGTTCCTAAGGTGGATGAGTAGGTGAAGCAGCCTTGATTGGGCCAGATTCAATTTATGAAGCTATGGGAAAAAGTTCAGCTCATCAGAAATTGACTTAAGACATAGGTCCTATGCAGATGTAAGGAGATGGAACTTAGAGTTTGAGATAGATGATTGGGATTTTCCTGAAAGTATCACCTATGAAATGGGTGATGAGATTTGACAAACTTGGAGGAGTCAATCCGTAGATGGAGCTACTTGGGAAGCAGAAGCAACCATGAAGCCAAGTATACTCATCTCTTTTCTTCCGATTCCATTTCATTTTGAGATATTAGTTCCTCTCTAGTCTTTCAGTTTACTCGTGCATAAATTCAGTCTTAGTACCTTATTCCTTCAATTGTTCTTGCATTTTTAGTAAATATGAATGTTTATGGAACTCAGCTTAGTCAGATATCAGTTTTTAGTACTTAGTGGTAGGGATTGAAGCTCCTCCCCTCCATACCCAACTAGTTTAGACTTCATTCGAGGATGAATGTTCCCAAGGGGGAGTTATTGTAACACCTCTGATCTCAAAACGAAAAAAAATCGTAGTTTTCAGGAAATCTAGTGCCAGTACTAATGGAACCACCCATGGACCGTAGGTGGGGTTCCGTTGTTAAGGACCAAGTCTTAATAGTCTCTGATCCCACCCACGGTCGACCAGTACGGTCCATGGTTGGACCTACAGACCGTAGGTGAGGGTCAGTAACCAGTTAGAGGGAAATTATTGTTGGGTCAACTTCAAATGGTCTTAACACTTATCACAAAAGAAATTAGGTGGCCCATGACCTACCAAATGATACAAAATTGAATCCTCTTTCCAATGCCACCGAGTTTGCTAAAATCCCATCTCTGAGTAAAACGTTATGCTCATTTTAGTGAAGCCCTGTTGGGCAGACTTGATCGACGACCCTTACCTAAGGTTGGTAGGTCAACTCACGAACTGTAGGTCCCTCTGTGGGTGGCCTTCGACAGAATTAAGTTAGGGTCGTTTTGGTCCTTTCTCCTATACGTTGGGCACCAAAACTATGTTGTTTAACCCTTAATCAACATCGTTTTACTCAGATTAAACCAATAACCTAGTCAAAACATAAACAAACCTTTATTCACTAAAAATTCATCAAACTTATAGCAAAAAGAGTTGAAACAGTGGACCAAGCCCTCTCCAAGAATGCAGCGAGTTTATTTCAGTTCCAGCCCCAAAATTGAAAGGTTTCTCCATGAATTTTGTCACCAGGTATGTAGGATTTCACTGGTGGATTCTTTTCATCCAGTAGGTCTCTAGAATTCAGTCAGATTCTTGAATCACTATATTGTGTTTAGACCTAGGGTTTCTAGAACTTCAGATTATTGTTGTGATTCAGTTGTTAGACTAATCCTAATCAGATTATCATGTTTTTGAGGAATTGTTGCTTAGCTTCTTGCATGAAACTCAGAACCATAGTTGTGTAGATTCGTTTAGTTCATGAATTACAATTTCTAGGTCAGTTTAGAACAAATATACATACTCCAGTTTAGAACGTCACATTATCAGTATATTTCAACATGAACCCTATTTTGAATTATAAATCATGAGAAGTTTTTTAAAGCCAACACTTGAGTCCTTAAACTGAGTTTTGAGAAAATAAAGATCAGTTTTGAGAAAAGTTTTCTAAAACATAATTACTATGTCAATCGAGTATGCCATAAATGTATGAGCAGTATGGTATCTAGATATACCATCAATGTTTATGCAGTATGACTTCTCGAATCATCAATGATCATATTATAATATGATTTTGAATTTTTTTGAGAAAGAGTTTTCAAGTATGAGTATTTGCATGTCAGTATTTTGAGCTATTTAGTATTTTAGTATTTCAGTCATAATGTTTCATTATCAGTACTTAATGTTACATTTTCAATTAGCATGTCAGAATATTGAGCTATACAGTTTATATTCAGTTATGTTGTATTGTACACATTCTAGTTGGAGTAGGCTTAATACCGAGTTGGACTAGGGTCAGTCACCCTCAGTCCCAGAACTACGTGCCCCCGTAGGTTAAGTCCCTTCTGTGGGCATCAATTTTAGTGATCACACCAGTCATGCCTTTATACCCTTGGCAAGGTATAATGGATCCTCTTGATGGGGTGTATACATCGAACTCCACGTTTAGCTCACGTGGTTTTATGTCGGTTAATAGTAGCTGATGAGTCCACAATTTGGACTCATTTAGGGCTTAATTTTAATAGATTTCGTGTCCTCGAATGCATATTTTATCTTAATAACTGATATAAATCCTTGAATTTCAGGTATTTGAACTTAGGGACAAAACATGGACACTATTGAGCAAAAAGGAACAAAGCAGTTGAAAGAACGAAGAAAAGAAGACCTGAGGATCGCCTAAACCATTGGGCGAGTCGTCAAATGGCCTTGGTCTCGCCTAATGTCCTGTGTGCCATGCCCTGAAGGAGAAAATCAAGTCGGCGATAGAAAGGAGCAGTCGACGAGTCACCGAACAGTTTCGCAATGTAGTGCTTTATCACCCAAAGTTACAGAACCTCAAGGATGCTGAAGGCAAAAGCAAAAAGTCGATACAAATGACCAAAGGGTGGATCGCTGAGTGGATCGGCGATCCCGACTAACTGTGCCGACTGAACCTTCGCAGCACACTTTTTGACAACTATAAATACTTGTTTAAAGTTTTAGCTTAGTATCAGAATTTGTAGGGAATCATATTATTATTCTGTTTTTGAAGTTGAGAACTGAGAACTGAGTTTGAGACCTTAGCTTTGGAGATTTTGAAAATCCCCATTTTTAAGAAATTGGAAGTGGGTATTGAAGATTCTTCATCTTAGACATTTGTAAAAATAATATTAATCGTACCCAGTTGATGGAAACACACTTCAGTATCGATTTCTATCTTTTTACTATGTCTAGCTAAAACCCCAACTCTTAGGGTGGATTATGTGAATATGGGTTGAATTTACTGCTGGGTATTGCTAATTGATAGTTCATTTGCTATTTAAAGGTGATTTCGTTCAGTGGTTGTGTTTGAATTGAATGGGGTGGTAGTTGCAAATACAATTTTAACTTCGTGTTTTTGGCTTGCTCGAGAGAGAGGTTTTTAAAACCAAAACTACTGAATCGATGGTGTGTGGTTATTGGGTTATTGTGGGTTCAGCTCGAGAGAGTGAATCCTAATTCTCTCCCACACATTTAGCTCGAGACAGTGAATGGACTAAGGTGAAGGTTGTGCTTTACTGCCGCTTATTGGTGTTCGAGAGAAACTGATTGATTCAGGGTAAATTGTTCGAGAGAAAATTTACCCCCACTATAGACTAGCTTAGTTACCAATTTTCAGCGATTTACTATTAATAGCAATTACCCGGTTGTTTACCTTAGCCCATAATCCTATCACATCCCAAGAATCCCGTCTCCATATTTTTATTTTAATTTTTAGTTGTTGTTTTAGTTTATAATTGATTACAAAACCCCCATTTTGATACTTGACACTTGTGTCACCCTTTAATTTATCATGTTTTCCTTCGTAAATGTTTATAGCTATAATTGACTTGAACACATTTATGCTTTTCTATTGATTCTCAATTACGAACCACTCCCTTGGGACTCGACCCCAATCACTTGTTGGGTTATATTACTACTCACAATCATTGGCACTTGAACTCGAAGTAGTGTCCTGATACGTGAAATCAGTAGCTCCACTACAACATTTTAGGCCTACGACCACACTAAATCTGGACAACACTTGTAAAGTGTTGCCTAAAATATTTTTGGGGACGCTTTTAAAGCGTAGCCCAAGTTTTTAACTTTTAGCTACGATAATATTGGCAACACTTGTAAAGTGTACTCTTTAATGGTATAAGCTACACTTTATAAGCGTTGTTACAGTATGATATAATTGGCAACAATTATTTACATATATGGCCATACTCTTAAAGTGTCCTATTTTTATAATTGTAAATATAACACATTACAAATGTGACCTTAAAGTTTTCACTAAAATATATATTCCCTCCAACATTTTTAACTCTCCCCCAACTTTTATTGGGCAAAAAAAATAATAAATAAAACATTAGAACAAAATACGCTCCAGCTGAAGAAGAACATACGCTCCAGCAGCTGACATACGCTCCAAGATAAATTTGAAGAACATACGCTTACAGTAAGACTTTCTTTTCCCTGAAATCAGAAAAATTTTCTGTCAATTTGATGAACACGATTTTCTCTCCAAGCTAAGTCTGAAGAACACGATTTCTGTCAAACTTTCTCACAGATTTCACGATTTCATGTTGAAGAGATGAAGAGTTACTCGCTGAAGAACACGAATTCACAATTTCTTCTTTTTTTTTTTTTTTTTTTTTTCTCCCCCCCCCCCCCCCCCCCCAAATTTTTATTGGATAAAAAATAATAATTAATAAAACATTAAAACATTACATCAGTTCCAGCTGAAGAAGAACGTAACATACGCTCCAGCTTCTAGTTCCAGCTGAAGAACATACGGTCCAGCTGAAGAACATATGCTCCAGCTGAATCTGAAGAACGTACGCTCCAGCTGAAGAACATACACTCCAAACTTTGTTAGTGTAAGATGTTCTTTTCCCCAAATAAGAAAAACTTTCTGTCATTTTGAAGAACATGATTTTCTCTCCAAGCTAAGTATGAAGAACACGATTTCTGTCAAACTTTCTCACAGATTTCACGATTTCATGTTGAAGAGATGAAGAGTTACTCGCTGAAGAACACGATTTCACAATTTCTTGTTGAAAGGATTTTGTTGGAATATGGTTTATTAGGTAAGAAATTCTATCTTTGAAAGTCTAAATTTTAGCTTTAGGGTTTTGATATTCTTGTGTTGTTGATACGATTTTTGTTGATTTTAGCTCGTAGTTGTATTACCTGAGCATTAATCACTATATAAGTATAAATGGGCTGATTAGTGTAAAGAGGTATACTTTCTAGATTGTGGAGTGATGGTTGCTACGCTTTATTTATCCATTGTCCTCTTGAACAGACCATTTTACCTCACAGCCAAAATCCTTTTTTTCCTGGCTTGTATCTTCTTCTTGCTACTAGCAATGTTGATCAAACTATTAAATTACTCTTTTTCTTTTGTAGTTAGGAAAGGCAAAGAGAAAACCAGGGCTTATTGGAATGTAAGCCTGTATCAAACTTCACTTACCGCTACCGAATTCAGGTAAAACTTGAGTAGAGAATGCTTTTCATGGAATGTGCATTTTTAATCTTTTAGTATGTTCTTGTATATATCATTATGGCTGTAGATTTTCTATTGGATTCATAAAGATAAATTAATTGAAAGGAAAAAGGAAAGTTAGATTGAAAACTAGACGCACTTGGCCAGCCTGATAAGACTGTTTATTTTTTGAGTGGAGTGAATATAAATAACAAGATCATTTGATTGGATTTGATATGATTTGACGTTTGGTGGTTTGCATTCTGTAGACTGTAAGATTAATCTACTTTTCATTGAAATTTGGATTACTTCATCTCATTTACCTGTTAGCTTCCAACTTCTTGTGTGCAACATTTGGCTTTTCCTGATAGTGTTTCAAACCTTCTCCTAGTCATTGCTCAATGGTAGATTTCTGCGGACAAGAGATTGATGACCAGTGATGAAAGAACTACATCAGACGCCGCGAGTGAATTGGGCATACTGAGACAAAGTCATACTGTATCTTATTTAAGGTAGATCAAAGTATTTTTCTTTGGAATGTTTGCCTTTTTGATAAACCAGTGCATGGATTACCTGCTTCAAATGCAGTAACTCACTTGATTTCTCTCTTTTGCTTTATCGAAATTAATGGCTCTCGCCATAGTCTATCAATCATTGTTAGAAACTGCTTAGTTGTCCTTTTCTTTTGTAACTTTTTTTAGTAATTAAGTGGACACAGAAATCTAGCAAATAATTTCTTCTGCCCAAAAGTCATATGTTATGTCTTAAAATTGTGTGTGAAACAGGAATGAGATTTGATCCAGATTGGTCGATAATGCTCATATTTCTACAAAAGATGTGCAGCTGAACGCCTCTTCTACAGATGACCTGAATCATCATCATTATCGAAGTGAACAGTCTTAATCAATAACGAACAAGAGATAATTGATGAATCATGTGATCAATTTGAACTCGATAGTGAAGAGATGGAGACTACTGATGGATTTCATGTAATAGGGAACTCAGAATGCATTACATTTGAGGATGTAAACCAGCAAAATTCGGGTGATCAAATAGCTGAACATTCAAATCAAATCAGAGGACAGGAGGATATTGAGCAAGAGACATCAAATTTTGAATTTATTTCCAATGTACCTGAAAGAGAGAATAATGACATTAGGAATTTGACGGAGAATGGTGCAGCTGTTGAAAGTGGTTCTCGAGGGCATGTACGAGAAGCCCATGAACCCTTTCATGATAATGATGCACCAAGAAGTGAGGCAAGTGATACTCATGAAGTATATGGTCATTCTCATGGCTTGATAAGAAGTACTTTTGAGGATTATGAGTGGCAAGTTTTATCATCTCAGGCAGAAGATCCCCAGAAGTTGTCACGGATCATGAGGAAAGAAACTTGCGACAACAAGAAGCGCCATATGAACTAGTTATCGAACATGGGCGAAAGTGAGAAAATGTCTTCTTCTGAACACGATGAAACGACAAACAATACTACAGAAAACATGAGCTAAAGTTGGCAGGAAGATTCTGCAAACCATTGGTATCCAGAAAGTTCAGAAAATGATACTGAAGCACAAATTTATGAGCAAGAACAACATGAGGACTGGCAGAGTAATGATTGGCTGGATATGCCTTCTAGTCAGAATGCTGGATCCATGAGAAGGGATGATTCATTTTATATGCAGAATGCTGGATCCATGAGAAGGGTTGATTCATTTTATATGCCTGATGATGATAATGTTTACAATATTGAACTTCGAGAACTTTTAAGCAGGAAAATGATTCTCATTACCACAGGATTATTCATTTTCTACCAAAATTTAATGCTTAAGCGATTTAACTGGTTCCTTAATGTTGTAGGAGGCGTGTCTCTAATCTGCTTCAAAGTGGCTTCTGTGAGAGTTTAGACCAGCTAATACAATCTTACGTTGAAAGGCAAGGACACACTTCTGAATGGTATATGGGTGGAACATTATCATCCCCTGATGATATGGAACACAAGCTGCTTCAAGAATATGACAATCAAGATGGACCTTAGATAAATAGTGAATCTAATTCCTTTGCCATGACTTCACTACATGTGGAACCTTCTCTGCAGTTGATAGGAACAGTAAGCTCACCTTTATATTCCTTGACAATTCTACTTGAATTTAATTAGAGAAGTTGATTTATGTAGCTTTCTTTGTCCCAATTTAAGTGTCTTACTTTATTTTTTAGTCTGTTTCAAAAAAGAGTGCCTCTTTTTATATTTAGTAAGTTTTCCAATTCCAACTCCATACATGGCAAGTTTAAGACCACAAGATTAAAAGGACTCCATACTTGTTTGACCTACTGCAGGATTGAGAAGTCACACATGAGTTGAGGAATGACATGGTTCGGCTTCAGCAGAGGATGTTCAATAAGTGCATGGAAATGCAAGTTGAGCTCCAACGCACGGTTCGCCAAAATGATTCTGCAGCCTTAAATCGATATGCTAGTTCAACTGGTTATATTTCACATCTAAAAATAGGTTCTTGTATCAGCATTATATATTCCATACATAAAGCATATATCTTGGACTGGAAAAATCGATACACGTTTAACTGGATGAATTTTTTGTAAATTTGCCGTCTTGATTAACTCAAAAGTTGAAAATATTCTTACAATAGTCTCTAGCTTTTTCCCCGTGATTAAAGAAAAAGAGTATTGAATTGGAAAAAGAGTCATCTTCTATGATTGATACCTTAAATTGTGATTGTTCTTTTTTGCACGAGTGTTGGTAGTTCTTATTTCTCAATTTTGAGCTCTAACTTTTTTTAAAAGCACATAATATTTGATAAATAAAAAAATGTTGAATTCTCTATAGGTATAATTATTTTTGCTCTCTATTTTTATCAGACTTTAGAACATTCATAAACTAATCTGAATTTTGCATCTTAACTCATTTTCTATATCATTTTTTGGCATGACTTAACGATCGGCGCAATAAAGAAGGGTCTACTTTCCTTTAAACTCTCTCTAGAAGTAAAAGTGTGAGGCTTCTATTTGTGTGTAAACTTGTGTATAACGACATTATCTAATCACATACTTTTTTTACTTGCTCTTAGAGCTATTCCAATGGTTTCTTTGAGAGTAACAAAGGTGATCGTATTAGTCATAGTAACATCTCTATGATAAGAATTCCTTTAGAAATTGTCTGAATTGCAGCCTCAAAGTGATCCACTGATATATATATATGTACGTTTTTGTATGCTAAGGTAGAAATCAGGGTGGTCATCATCTGTTTGTCCAGCAATTAACGTGTTGGCAGTTCTATTTTTCTTATGGCTCTCCAAGATTTAATCTGTTGCGTTTTTCACTTCGTCATAAAGTTGCAATTGGGAAATACTACGCGGTGGTTCCTGATTTTCTAAGTCGTGATCATCGTTATCATTATAATGAGGAAAATATTGAGTAGCCTATGTCAATCTAGATATAATTATGTGTTCCAGAGTTTTTGCAGTTGATCTTATGTCTATTTAAATACCCATTGATTTGCATCTAAGAATCAAAGGGGACCATTCCAACAATCACCCGTTGTCATATTCTTTCATATCTGGGAACGTTATCTTGATTCACTTGTTGTTGTTGGAGCTTTAAATATAACAGTATATCACAATTTGAGCTGCAATAAGTTTTTGAACTTTTTAAACTATAATGTCAGTTGTCCCTTAACATGTATCCTTCTACTTCTTTACTGAGCCATATAAAGGATACATCTATTGTAACTCTGCCTGTCGATGAGTTGATTGGAAAATTAGATGCGCTTGTTGGTGTGTTTCACGGCAAGGTTTTGTTCTTTAGAGAATTCAATGATGAATATTCTTCTTTTTCTTCTCCTTTAGCTGATAAATGTTTGTAGTTGAAATTAGTTGGGATTAATTTTGAAGTGGTAATTAATTTCTAGATGCTGATAAACTCGAATATTCAGGCTAGCAGGCTTTTAAAAGGATCCTTATTGTAGTCATTTATAGTTTCTCCAATATGTAATGCCTATATTACCTATCAAGGCATTTTCAATATGAACAACTAAACTGGAGTACAATATACGTATTGAACATACTTTTGCATCTGCTATGCTTTTCTTGTATTATGGCATCTTCCTCCATATCAATTGTTCTACATATATGACATCTGATTACCTCAATGATATTAGCATATGAGCTTAAGCTTTATGTTTGTTTTTCCATAGGTTACTTTTTTTTTTATTTCTACTGAGAATAAATCAATTTTTAAATTAATTTGTTGGGCCCGTGCTGTCCATCTAGTATATATATATATGAACATCCTTTTCCATTCATTTCTCAAGCATCGATGATTCTCTTTTTAGCAGCGTTAGAGACTCCTCTTCCTTCCATTTTTCTTTTTTTTCTGGATGTTTTAATTGGTAAGCTCAAGGGAATTATTGATTTGAAATTGATGCAGGTGTGGACACATGTGCACATGTTTAAAATATGCAGAAAAGTTTGTCCAGCGGGACGGAAAATGTCCAATGTGGCAGGCACCAGTAATTGAGGTGATCCGAACTTTTTCTATACAGTAATGTTGGTGCAGGACATAACTTGGGTATGTACACATGCTCAAATCTGAGCTAGCTTTTTCTGTACATAGCTGGTATAAAACTAAACAAAACGTGTGAAGCAGAGTGCATCCGTTGCTGCTTTAGTTTGTCTGGGTAAATGTGGTCTCTCGTCTAAGAGACCGTGTACAACATATAGTGTTGAGATGTTTTTGTATCTGTATGGACATTTTGGTCTTGTTACAAACATTGAAGAAGTACTATTGACTTAGTGCAATCTGGAATATCTTCTCCGTATTAATTACGTCAACTTGTATTATTATATCTAAACTCTTCTCTGTTTTAATTATGTCAACCTGTATTAGTATATCTAAACTGTAATCTGCAATCTGGAACTCAATAAATCTGCAATCTGCAAACTGGAACTGTAATCTGCAATCTGGAACTCAAAAGATCTGCAATCTGCAATTTGGAATTTGGAACTTCTTGCCTCTTCTATAACTGCTGCAATCTGATTTGTGTACATTCTAAATGTGTAGGGAAATGGAGGTGATCACATTTGAAGGGTCGCCACAAATCAATTTGATCTCGCTGAAGTGGATGATGAAGAGTTTTTGAACTATTGTAAAAGTTTGAATACATTATGTTTGATTTTGTGAAATATATTCATTGCTAGAATATATTGAACTATTGTAAGAGTACTTTTTGCACTATTGTGTACACATATTTAGAATATTGCTTTATAAGTATGTGTATGTACACAAGACATACTATCTTTTGAAGTTTATTGCAAATCTATATATTTGAATTAAAGCAAAGGCCACGCTTGAAAGTGTAGTTGTATGAGATAGAAATGTTGCTATATGAGGTACTAAAAAGCGTGGCCTTTGTGCTTTTTAGGCTACGCTTTTAAGCGTAGTTGATAAGGCAACACTTGAAAAGTGTCGCCTAAACTCTAAGGTTACGCCTCTTTCGGCCACCCCTGGAAAAGCGTTGCTTAAAGTAAAAAAGTGTGGCCTTTTATCAAAGGCCACACTTTTTCATAGTTTAGGCCACACTTTTCTAGGGTGGTAGTAGACATAAAATGTTGTAGTGCTCCCACAGTGAGATTCTATTGCATTGACCAGGTTATCAGTTACAATTCAATATTTAGTTTCAACATGTTATGAATTTGGTCATTGCATTCAGTATTAGTTCATACTCAGTATACTTTGTTTAGTTATGTATATTGTTCAGCTTTATCCTATCCTGCATGTTCAGTACCTTTCAAGTACTGATGCATACTCTATGCTACATCTTCTTGTGATGTATGTTCAGGTCCTCAGTATTCGGATCACGCATCGATCAGTTCTCGATCTCCAGTTCAGTAGTATTAGTGGTGAGTCCTCATTCTTCGGGGACGATAGACATGTTTTCTTTTACTTCCAGTCTTTCAGTTTCAGTTTTGCTAGAGTTAGCTGGGGGAATGTCCCAACAACTCTAGTCAGTTAAAGGCTTTTTCAGACATAGTATTAGATTCAACTTTAGCTTTTGAGTGATGGTTCAGTATCACTAAACTCGTAGAAGTTTTATTTATATATTCAGATAAGTTTTGGGTATTCCCCACCATTAGTTATTTCATGATTTAGCTTTGCATGAGTTTATCTTTTAATAGATATGTTCAATTTGCTTATGATATGCCAACTCAGGGTTAGCTTGGGGTCACTCGTGATCCTAGGTCCCGTGTCCGCATCCAGGGGGTAGCCTCAGAATGTGACATTTCTAGTAGCAATCTCTTTATCCCTTACCTATGTGACCCCATAGGATGATTGTCTAGTTAGACATTAGCTAGCGGATCCACAATAGCGAGAAGTTCATAGTCTTTCCTTGGCAAGTAGGAAAACCATTTTCGGTGTGGGAGATACCAGATTCCATGTTGATACCTCACATGGTCTTATATGTCAGTTAAGGCTACTTCCCACAAACAGGCAAAGTTATGATGAAACAAGGTTACTTCAAGGAAGTATCGTAAGTATGTTTTAAGATGATGTTCGCTTGCATTGATCATGTTTTATGACTTACCATTTCTAACCCTCAAGATTTATGTTTTAGCTTGATCATTGCTTACTCATGAAAATATCCCTTTATAGCATGATTTTAATGTTTTATGCATGGATACCATATTTGGTACATTGTTTTCTACTAACGCATACTCTTGCCTACATTTCCCCAAATGTAGGGTCTAACAGTCAGGGTTCCCAGTTTTGTGGCTGGAGGTTGATTTGATAGATTTCAAGCTTTGGTGAGTCCTCACACTTCGAGGAAGAATTTCATTGTTTACAGTTTTCCTTTTCACTTTCAATTTTGGACATTATATGGGCTAGGCCCAATTTCGTTCTTATGTACTAGATGGCTAATGAGACAAGTATTTAGACTTCCTCTTGCCTTTGTAAAACTTGGATGTATTGAAATCATCTTTTAAATCTCGTTATTCTATTTCTTATGTAATGAATGCTAAGTGGCTTGTGTGGGCCTCTCGGGGTCCTATACGCCATGATACGTCTAGGGGGTACCTTGAGTCGTGACATGATTATATGAAAATCCTAACTTCCCAAGATACCCCCATGATCATTCTACCCTACAAGTGCCATGACATAGAACTACAAGTAATGAGTACAACTGTAGAACTATACAGAAAATAACACTAGCAATTAGAAAAGATAGAAATATAAGAAAACCAAAAACTATATACAAAGGAAACCGTCCTAGAACCTGGAAGTCACGAGTACAGAGTTGTCTAACAAGAATAAATACAAGTCCCAAAAGTGGACCACAACAAGACATCTTAAATCCTTGCTAATATACATACACAAATAGATAGGCTCATCCACGATGCCAAGAGCTCACCCTCGTCTCTGATATCCACAAGCTGCAAAAGACAGCACGAGCAATCACCTCTTTTAGATGGTACTAGGACCTTCATCACGAAGAGATCTAGAGTATAGAATAAGTACCAAAGCAAAGGTATTTAGTAGGCATCATAGACCGACTGAGCAAGAAAGGTAAAAACAATATGATAAGACATAATCTATACACAAATAGGTCAAAGTAGATATGAAAAGAAGGCACACGAATATACTGAAAGTAAATCTAAGTACAACTAAACTAACCCTAGCTAGACCCTTATAATCCTAGAAGGTACATTCGTGCACAAGTTAAAATAGAAACTCGAACGAACCCCCATAAGCCTGAAAAGTACATAAAATAACTAAGACTATAAAGATAAAGAACCCAATCCAAAGTGCAATAAGAGTCAATCGGGCCTCGAACCAAAAGGTGATTGTATCCCAAAAAAGAAACGGCCTTAAACCAGAGAGTATTAGTCTCATGATAGAAATAACAGCCTCAAACTATAAAATGTCAGTCTCAGACTGGAAATAACGGCCTCAAACCATAGTACATCAACCTCAAATCAGAAATAATCACCATAACACACTAACTCATTTCCCCGCAATCAGGAGCATGAAGGCATATGAACTCCACAGAGAATTCCAATACCAAGCTAAGCCATCATGGAATGCATAATCAGGGAAAGTTTTCATCTATTTTGTATTTATAGAATTTTGGAGACATGGCCGATCTAGACGTTTTCGGGATGCCAATCCCCCCCTTCTTCCACTCCGCCCCGAATAAAATTATTATTAAAATTAATAAAAGAAACCTTCGAATCACTAAATATATATATACCGTGTCAGAATGAATAAAATCAAATTATTACGAATAGGTCTTTATAATGATATATAAGTATGGACTCATTCAATCATAGAAAATGGGATCAACTCCCCCATTGCATTTTTTTTTTTTTGTGGATTGCCATTTCAAGTATTGCTCCCGTTGGACTTCTTATGTCGTGGTATGGATCAAATAATAAATATTCCTTTGTCTAGTTTGTGGGGAGTATATAGAAGTCGGATTTGGTATTTGGACATCCACTCAAAATTATCAATAAAAGGCTCATAGCCTCGTACAACTCAATCTCTAATCCTTAGAATAGCACAAACCTCCGATAATACGTTAGAGACACAACGATATGGAGTGATAATAAAATGTCTATCAAGTTGCGCAAACGCCTAAACTAAGGCTCATACTACCATACTAAGGTCTTCTATTCCAGTATACAAGGACCTAGTCCGTCAGAAATAACGTCAGAAACATGGTGAAAAAGTGTAATACCTCAGATTTCAAAGGAAGGAAAAATGAAAAAAATTCTTAGCTGGTGTCGGTGTCTATGGGTCCCACCTACGGACCGTAAGTGCTCCTACGGGTTGTAGGTTGAAACTAGAGGTAATAGGATAATTGATTTTCAAAAGTCAAGTTCTAGTACCTTTTTTGCAGTTCAACAGAACAGTTTGTCATCCCATATACGAGTCGTAGGTAGGTCTCATAGGTGAGTCCCAGACTTAGAAAATTTCAAGGTCTAAGTAGGGTACGACAGATAGGGGTCGACAATTTTGTTTTAAGGGCTATTGGGTCTTTTCATATTTATTTTAACCCAAGACTATATCATTTCACTTTCTACCCTAGTCCCTATATAAATGTTTAACCCCCACATTACCCAATTGAACTCATTCTACTAAATTCCTAAAGTTGACCAGTTCGTCCTCCCAATTTCTCTCAAGTGTAAGGAAGAAGAAGAAGAGTCAGGGTTCCATTCAAGTCTCCAAATCCTCCATCTTTCTTGGGATTTGGTATCAAGGTATGTGTTCATTCACCCATGGAGTCTTTTCCTCAATGGGGTCCCTAAAGATTTCAAGTCTTCAATTCAATTCTCAAATTATCAAGTTAGGGTTTCAAGCCAAAGAATGTGGGTTCCTTCCGATCTTGATTCATTATAATCAATTAAGTTTTCTAATGCATTATTTGATTTTGATCTATGATATTTAGTTGAAATTGCACTTGCTCATGCTTCAATTATGCATTTCAATCATGATCTTATGATAAACCCTATAGACTGTGAAATTATAGAGATATGCATGTTTTTTTATAAAATTATTCTAAATTATTTAAGTTTGCTTTGAGACTAAAGCATCAACGTTGTTGTTTTGAAATGTTATTCTCACGCGAAGGATTCATAGGGTTGAAAGGTTTTCCAAACTAAAGATTGAATCCAGTTTTAAATGAGCTATTCTAAATGAACTCTAGCTTGGATTGGTTGCTTAATTGTACCTTTCCATAGATGATGATAAAAATACGACTAATGACTATTCCATGGGATTCATGCTTAGAGTGTACTAGTGGTGATTACCTATGTCCTATAAATTATATGCCACCCTAGGATTAGTGTCATAGATAAATATTAGTTACTGGATCCACTTTAGCTCAAGTTTATGATTCTTACCTTGGCAAGTAAGGTCATCGCTTTTCAATGTGGGATAGACACCAGATTCCATGTTATATCTCACATGGTCTATGTAGGTTAATGGAAAACTTCCCACAATAATGAACTAAGACTACTTTCTAAAGGTATCTTAAGTATGCTCTTGATGAGTCCGAGATTTCGACTCATTTAGGGCTTTAATTTGATATTATAAGTGTCCTCAAATGCCTAATTTATTCTCTAAACTGATGTTAAAGTGTTCATTCGCAGTTATGAGGGCCGGGGAGCAAGTCAAGGACTCTACTGGGCAAAATGGAGCTAACAAGCTGAAGAAGTGAAGAAAAGTGATCTTGGCGATCACCAAGACCACTCGACGAACCGCCGAGTGGCTCTTTAGTTTGCTCAAAGTTCCAGCAAGCCATCCCTGGGGA